GCCCAGATCCAGGCTCAGATCGGGGCCCTGGAGGAGCAGCTGCACCAGGTCCGGACCGAGACCGAGGGCCAGAAGCTGGAGTACGAGCAGCTGCTGGACATCAAGGTGCACCTGGAGAAAGAAATCGAGACCTACTGCCGCCTGATAGATGGAGAAGATGGGTAAGTACTGCTTCCATTGAGGGAACTATTTTTTTAAGGTTATTAAAGACTTTTTGAAATCAAGTACAAAGTATGTATGACCTACATCACATGGACCTAAACCCCTTCTCGCGTTATTGAAGAATCCAAGGCTCCCCCACCCCCCGAAATCACCATTTGTCAGTTTCCTCGGCACAACACAGGGTGAAATAATTAACAAAAGCTCTCCATATTTTTATAGCTCTTGCGTTAAATCGAAAGGATACAAAGGACCAGGAAATGAGATAAAGGGTAAGCACAAAACCAGTGCTGAGCATTAATGAATAGTTGTATGCTTCAAAGTATGAGTTAATTATTATGTTTGTATGATTCAAATGACGAGTTCATTATTTACCCTTTATGAATGTGATAAATTCTAACAATTCCTCTGTGTCCCTTTAGATTCATCGAAAGGCACTGTGGTTAAAACAATTGTTGAAGAAATAGATCCTCGTGGTAAAGTTCTCTCGTCCAGAGTTCAAACCGTGGAAGAGAAGGCCACCAAGGTCAACAACATGAAGAGCGAACAGAGGGTGCCTTCCTGAGCCCCAAGGGAATGGCCTTAAGTTAAAGTCCCAAACTGAAGCTAGATTCCGAAGTGAGGGCCCTCTTATGTTTCTGCTTTTCTTCCAGTGAATTAGGACAAACTGTGTCTAGAATAGTAACTTGGGGGGGAGGGGCGGGGTTCTCTGTGGTGGTGTTTCAATAAAAGTTCTTCCCGTTGCACGCCATCGTCACTGGTTCTGGTCTACCTTTACATTGTCAACGTAACCCAAACCGGAGCTGAATTTTGTTTTTAACATACTCTGTTTAATTCAATGGTCTTCCCTAGTTATGAGTCAATTTAGCAGACAAACTAGCTGGAGTCGTTTTCACATTTCTGTAAAATTTTAAATTTCTCCTCCTTCTCTAAATACTTATTACACACACACTAAGTACTGGCAATGAGAATAAAACAGTTAATGAAATCGAATCCCTAAGGGCAACATGCTCATAGAAGTGAACATAAGGAATTGCAGAATCAGAAACATCCTACAAATGGAGAAAAAACTATAAATGGTGCTATTTGAAGGTAGAAGGGAAAAGAGAGAGCTATGGGGACTAGATAGGACAAGTGGTCAATTCCACAATATTAGGGCACAAAACAAGTCTTACATTTAAGAAGACTGATATTATAACAAGTATCTTTTTTGACCACAATAGTATAAAGCTAGAAATCAATAATAGAAGAAAAGTTGTAAAATTCAAAAATACATACAAATTTAACAACACATTCCTGAACAACTAAAAGGTCAAAGAAATCAAAAAGGAAATAGAAAATTATACTGAGACAAATGAAAATGAAAATTCATTGTACCAAAACTTACGGGATACAGCAAAAGCCATATTAAAAGGGCACTTTAAGCCCTGGCTGGCATAGCTCAGTAGATTGAGCGCGGGCTGAGAACCAAAATGTCGCAGGTTTGATTCCCAGTCAGGGCACATGCCTAGGTTGCAGGCCATGGCCCCCAGCAACCGCACATTGATGTTTCTCTCTCTCTCTCTCTCTCCCTCCCTTCCCTCTCTAAAAATAAATAAATAAAATCTTCAAAAAAAGGGCACTTTATAGTGATACCTGTCGATATTAAGAAAGAAGACAGACTAGGAGATCCAAGATGATAGTGGAGTAGCTACACTCACCTCCTCTTAGGACAAAACTGGAATGACAACTAAAATATGGAGCAATCAACCTAAATAACCAACGAAAGGCTAGCTGAGCAGAGGTCTTAGAACCAAGGATTTACAGCAGAAGCCACATCGAGACTGGCAGGAAGGACAGAAACACAAAAAGGACTGGCCCCCACCCACAGGCATTGACTGAGATCCCAGAGGGATATCTCAGCTACAGAGGTCTCCTCTGAGGAGTGTGGGGTCTCAACCCCAGGCCAGGCTCCCCAGCCCAGAGCACCAGAGCTGGGAAGAGATGCCTACATAACATCTGGCCATGGAAATCAGTAGGAATTCTGTCCAACAGGGAGAGGCGTGAGTCTGCTAGAGACACAGGCGCCCTCTTAAAGGGCCAACACACAAAATCTCATTCACAGCCACTCACCCTGGGCTCCAGTGGAGGGACAGAGGTGTGCACTAGAGTCGAGTTGGAGGGGCTGGGGGTTGTGGCCCTGGGGAGAGAGCTGAAGGGACAGCCACTGCTATCCCTATGCTGAGCCCCTCCCCCACACCTAAGATGCCATCTTTCCTGGGTGCAGCACTCCCCTACGGCATCATCCTGAGGGACTGCAATGGCCCCACACTCGGGACGCCTCGTCACCCCACCCTGCAGAGCTCATACCTACTGAGGATGCAGCTGCGTGGGGCAGGGATGTAGAGGTCCGGGCAGATTCAGGAGGTGTCAGTGATTGAGTTGTGTGGCTCTGGGGCTGGGGCCACTCCTCCCTCCTTCTGCCAACCCTGACTGGTGCTTCCCCTCACAGAAAATCCACTGGCCCCAACCTCCTAATTCCTGGACGCCCCGCCCTTCTGAGCTTGGGCTCAGGAGAAGCTGGGACAGACCGAGTTGCGTGGCTCTAGGAGGAGGGTCATTTTTCCCTCTCACATCTGACCAGTACAGAGCCCTCCCTTCACAAGATCAAATCTTGGCCTGTTTGGGCCTGGCAGACTCTACTGGTCTCCCCCGACAATTGCCAGCATACATAGATCGTGAATAAAATAACCACTCCCAGAGACAAAATATATGGGTAGAAATGGCCTAGAAATTTTGTCAAGTTTATCTCCCTCTTCCAGAAACGACTAAAGCTACTTTTGTAGTAATTATTAGTTTAGAAGAAATTTATGATTAAAACACTCAAGAGACTTGCCCTTATAAAAAAGAGACGACAGCATTTCGAGGAATGACACATCAGGCATCCCAGTCCTGCTTTGACATAAAAATACTTTGTGATCTGTGTTGCTACTTAGCTTCAGAGTCTGCTCATCTCCAAAGTGGTGCTAATAATATATGCTTAGCTTACTTCACAAAAGATTACAAGTTAATTGTTATTTATAAAATATCTAGAAATCAGTTAGTTTATGTTAATAAGACTTGGCAGTCTTGTAATACCTCTTATCCAAGAAACTCAAGGGTTATAAACTATTACACTGACAACATAGTCTGTTCTTATTGTTTTATTTGTGAGAAACAAGCCGAAGAGTAAAATACTGACCAAGTCACAGTAAGATCAGTAACAAGTTTCTGAATATGAGCTACATCTCCTGACTCCCCACCCATTGTTCTAAACTTGTGCAAGTGGTCTGAGTTACAGTTTTGTATTAATTATCTTAAAATATTTTGGTGGAAAAACATCCATGTACTCCGGACCCCACCCAATATCCCGTATATTTTAGGGACAACCACATTGGAGGTTTTCCAAACGAGTCAACAGCCACCACCTTGCAAAATCTCATTCAGAAAAAAAATTACTCTTTCAAAACTACCCAAACCCATAATCAGTCGACCAATCAATCTGTACCATTATAAATACTAGAGACATGACCTTTCTGACATGGCCACTTTATTATAATAATTTAAGTAATTAGCATTCATAAAATGTTTGTGCCCTTCACATTGTTTTATAGTCATTAATTATTGGGACAGTTCAACATTCATTTGCGACTGTGCAACATTATTTATTTTCATTTGCCCAATAAGGAGATGAAGCCCCAACAGGCAGGTCAACTTCCCGGGGGCATCAAAGCAAGAGAATAGAAAGTCTGCTTATCCATGACCACTCATCTGTTTTTTTAAAGATTTTATTTTTATTTATTTTTTAGAGAGGGAAGGGAGGGAGAAAGAGAGAGAGAGAGAGAAACATCAATGTGCGGTTGGTAGGGGTCATGGCCTGCAACCCAGGCATGTGCCCTGACTGGGAATCGAACCTGCGACATTTTGGTTCGCAGCCCGCGCTCAATCCACTGAGCTACGCCAGCCAGGGACCACTCATCTATTTAGAGTGCCCAAGTTCCAGGCAATCATGAAAACACCCCTCTCCATCTATTCATATTTAATTCACCAATATGGAAATTGATCATCACTTCTCAGAATAATTCTTAATGCCTCTTATAGACATAAATTTAAACTAAAAAGCACTAAACATTTTGAGGTAGAGAAGTGAACAGTTTGGAGACTCGGAAGTCAGTCGAATGGACACTCTGCTCTTCGACTCAACCAAGAAACCTCCATACAAGTAACTTTCTGTTGAGGCCACATAGTCATTAATCTTAGTGAAATTGATAAGCAAAGTACTGTAGCACTTCTATTATTTCAGTTTTCAATTTTTTAAAAAATCAATTAAAATAAAACCCACCACTATCTATTGAGAATATCTGGCTTTAATAAGAAAGAAAACACTCGATAAAGCCTGAGTAACAGAGATACTCCATAAGCATTTGCAGGACAAAAGCAGTAGACATTTCTCGTTGGACTTACTAATGTTTTGTTATAAAGGGGGAACAAACTGGAATCTATTCTGGAGGGCAAAAAGCTGTGTTATTTTACTGCATAGATTTAAGTTGAGCCTTTGCAACTGTGATTCAGTGTTACTCCGCCTGGCACGCGCGCAAAGGTATCCTTGGGCGCTTTTCCTCCTCCAGACCGGACAGTACTGAAAATCACCCAGTTATGGAAAACAACAATTAGGGTGTGAGTAATATTTTATTATAAATCGCATAGTTAAGGCTGAAATGACTTGCTGAATCCTATAAAAGGCCAATGGAACTAAGTACTATGACTGGGGTACTTTGGCTTGGCTCCTGTCTGAGAAAGGGTCGCTCACCTGCGCTGTCGCCATGTCCTTTCCACTCGCCAGGGGGGCCGGGCAGGTCTGCTCTGGAGCGGGCTGTGGCCAGCGGTCAGGTGGAGGAGCAGGCCTCGGGGCCGGGAATGCGTGCAGCGGGTCGGGAGCCGGAGGCAGCTTTTCCTGTACTCTTGGGAGCGCCTCTTCCGGAGGAGGTTTCTACGGTGGCGGCGGTGGAGAGTTGGGGAGTGGGATCTGGGCTGGGTTTCTTGGAAATGAGCACGGCCTCCTCTACGGGAACGAAAAGGCGGCCTTGCAGAACCTCAACGACCGCCTGGCATCCTACCTGGACCACGTGCGAGCTCTGGAGGACGCGAACACGGACCTCGAGCAGAAAATCAGGGACTGGTACGAGAGCTACGGGCCTGGTTCTTTCCCGGGGCTGCATCAGGACTATAGTGCGTATTCCTCCGTCATTGAAGATCTTAAAAGGCAGGTAAGAAATATGGCTGTGCATACTTTTAGTATGAACTCAGGGTGTCCATAACTTAAAAAAGACAAAATATTAAATGTGCTTAGTCAAGGCATAATGCAGAATGTAGAATTTGCTCACTCTATATGCTGAGTGCTTGGGACTGTGCCTTATAATAAAAATGTGTGGAATTAATTAATGAAACAAATAGTTTTAAAATAAATATAATTATAATCACTTTGTTGATCTTATATTTAGCATATAGTGTTTCATCAAGAGTAATAAAAGTATCCATGATTATAAAACTTACACGTTGGCTTTGAAGTTCTAGACTTTTATCATCAGAAGAAAATCCAGATTCCTTTAATGTAGAAAAAGATCACACTAAAATCGATGCTTGATAGGTTAAGAAGGTAAAAATCACACTTAAATACGGAGCCTTCCTTGACTTTTGGAACATAACATTTTGCATCGTCTACCCTGTGTAGATCATTTCTGTGACCACCTGTAACGCCAGCGTTGTCCTTCAAAATGAAAATGCCAGACTGACCGCTGATGACTTCAGGCTGAAGTAGGTAGAAAATAAAGTCTTTCATTATAATAAAGGTAAAAAGACTACACTTGGAGTAAAAAAAAAATCTTTTGCTTATAAAACCAACATGTTTTTATGAAGTCAGGCTAGATCACTGAAGAAATCAAATCTGTCCTTGTAAAAAGAGCTATCATAAGTTTTAACAGACATCGTATTGGTCGGTACATGAAATGTCAGAAGAAGGTGTCCTTTGCAGCTGCCTGTGATGGCAATTCCCAAGTTCTTTAATTACCTTGCAGGTATGAAAACGAGCTTGCGCTGCACCAGAGCGTTGAGACAGACATCAGTGGGCTGCACAGAGTGATGGATGAGCTGACCCTTTGTACAGCCAGCCTAGAGATCCAATGTGAGACCCTCAGCGAGGAATTGACATACCTGAAGAAAACTCACGAGGAGGTAAGGATACCGCAGGGTGGCTTTGTATAAGCATCAGATTTCCTTCCTCGAGTTCCCTGTTCATTTCACAGCAGAGCGTGACTCTTAACAGTCTAGCGTGAACATCAGAGTGCTGATCCCTTTCCCAGGAAATGGAAGTCCTGCGGTGCTCAGCCGTGGGGAACGTGAATGTGGAAATGAACGCAGTCCCTGGAGTGGACCTAACGGTTCTGTTGAACAACATGAGGGCTGAGTATGAGGACCTGGCCGAGCAGAACCGCCAAGAGACCGAGGCCTGGTTTAACGAGAAGGTACGTCTGCAGCGAATCACGCACCAAGGGCTGGTTTGCTCAGTAGACTGATCACTAATGGTTCTGACAATTACGCTGCAGAGCGCTTCGCTGCAACAGCAAATTTCTGATGAGGCGGGAGCAGCCACAGTGGCCAGAAATGAGCTGATGGAACTGAAACGCAATCTGCAAACCTGGGAAATAGAACTTCAGTCCCTCAGGGCCACGGTGTGTAGGAATCGCCACTGATCTGAATATCTGTGTGTGCATGTACCAGTAAATACACGTATGTAACCACCTTGATAACAAAGTATATATATAAGATAACCGAAAATGTAAGATATAACTAATGTATGGACATACTAAATATCAAGAATTTTGTCCATAAACATTATTTCTGACTCGTCAACCCCAAAAAAATCTTTTTGAAGAAATTTTTTTCGATGAAAAGAAAAAATGTATTTTACTTTGTTAACGATGGGTTTGAGTGCATACAAATACCTATCCACCTTGAGAACGTTTAAAAGAGGAATGTGTGATTTATGGGTTCCACAGGCAAGCCTTGACGCCTTCTTCTTTCAGAAACATTCCTACGAATGCTCCTTGGCCGAGACCGAAGGTTATTACCGCCTTCAGCTCCAGCAAGTCCAGGACCAGGTCGGGGCGATGGAGAAACAGCTCCAGCAGATCCGAATGGAAACGGCAGGCCAGAAGCTGGAGTATGAACAGCTTCTAGATATCAAAATAATTTTAGAAAAAGAAATTGAAACTTACTGCACATTAATAGATGGAGAAGAAAGGTAAATATTACGTGAAAAATTAATCTAGTGATTAAAAAATTGATCTCACATCAGCTAGGCTCTCTCAGACTACATGTGCACTAGTACTGTATCTTAGAGTGTCCTGCTCTGCAGATCATACCCCGTGGCCTCAGAAATTGACTATTGCATCCAAGTGAAACAAAAACAGGCAGCAAAGCAAAATGTCTAAGTATGTAAAATATTGGTATCTGCAGTAATACGTAGAACATTTACATACAGAACACTGACCATTTCCTCTGCTCCAATCCGGGGGGAAGTTGCTGGCTGTGATTCAATGTTGAAGCACATGTCTCATAATAACACAATATTTTTTATTACATGGTTAATCACCAGACACGCACCCTGTATTGAGTGGGCTGTCACAGCTTCACTTGAAAGGTGAGCGATGAAGACCCAGAAGATTTCTTTGGCAAAGGCACCAGTAGCTTGATGGCCAACCGCAGCAACACTAAAATCGCCAATCTGGGTCCAGATGGCACCATTGAGTGAATCTAAGCACATTGCTTAAGCTCTTTAAAGCCCAGTATTTTTATTGGTAAAACTATGAGAACACCCAAATCATACTCTGAAATACGTTTAACAACAGTGCCTCACTGTGCAGGAAAAGTGCTTGCGACCATGGCTTGCACACAGGAGGCGCTCGGTGATCAGCGGCTGTTACTAAATGCTCGTCCCTGGTCACACCACGACTTGATAGCATCTTACGCATCCTCTAAGACTAGTGTCCACCCTACAGCACATCCTCATAGGAACCCAGCAGTGACTGCTGCCTCCTTCCAAGTGCTCATCGCACCATTCATTTTTCACTTCTCTTACCCACCTTCCATGCCGTAGCACAGGGAACTTTTTACAAGCCTATGCTTCGTTTTATTTTCAACAGTGTAAGCTGCTTGTATCTGGCTCTGTATTTTCTGCAGCACATTGTCTGGTGCCTTCTGCACAGCTGGCACACCAGACATGCCCACTGGCCAGGGGACGGACTGAAAAGTCAGCATGGGGACCTGGAGTCCCAGCATTGCTAAGATGAGAGATAATTTTTTGTTATAAACATCCATTTAATCTCTCCTGTCACTATACTGAAGTCTCGAAAAGCTCACTGATGTCTGTTAAACATAAGAATTTGAACCTTATTGAAACTAGAACTTCAAAACGTTTATTCCCAATTCAGAGTTATTTATGAGCTCCCTAATTTAAAAAATGCAATAATTTACTCTTATCTTCACAGAAAAAACAAGTCTACTTGTGGCAAATCAAAAGCGTGTGAGCCCGTAAATTCTGAAAATCAAGTCCAAGGTACACAAGGGCTTTTCCTTGCTATAACTCTTTTAAACTCCAGCAATTGTATTCAATAAGTCACTCATTTGGAAGCTACCGTATTTTGCCGTGTATAATGCACACCCATGTTTTTGGCCCCAATGTTCAGGAAAAACAATCTTTCGTTTTAATTTTTTTTATTCAATTTTGTAATTATTTATATTTAGATACTTGTTTTTTATATTACAAAGGAATTTTAGTGTTTATTTTTGAACTATTATGATACAAGAAATTTTATGTAACAAATAATTACAAAACACAAGAACAAATACAAGGGTATTTCCAGTACCACCCACGTAAAACACACATCCTTATTTTTCCCTCAAAAATTTTGGCAAAAAGTGCACATTATACCTGGCAAAATACAATAATAAGGTTGTTTCTAAGTTTAGGTTTAGAGAGGGACGGGGTGAGGGAAAGTGATTACAACAGTTCTTAATGTTCATATTTCGTATTCCTGTCAAACAGATCTGGTCAAATTATGAAATTACTGAAATGGGGAACCAATCCTCCAATATCTCTTTTTACTTAGAACCTATTAATTTTATAGTTTTTTAAAAGATTTTATTTATTTATCTCTAGAGAGGGAAGGGAGGGAGAAAGAGAGAGAGAAACATCAATGTGCAGTTGCTGGGGGTCATGGCCTGCAACCCACGCATGTGCCCTGACTGGGAATCGAACCTGCGATGCTTTAGTTCGCAGCCCGCACTCAATCCACTGAGCCACGCCAGCCAGAATTTTTATAGTTTTAATGCTTTGATATTAAAGCTGCGTTATGTTAAACCACAAAACTAGGGCAAGCTGATATTTAAAAGAAGACTTTTTTTTTTTGCTTCAGGCCTCTACTTGCCTGACACTTATATGTTTTAATCCATGTTTCATTCATTCATGCTTTCAAACACCCACTGCTCTAAAAACAGTGGTAAACACAAGAAAGACAGCCCAGGCCTTGTTAAACAGAGACTTCAAACACAGTGTATCCGTATCTCCATTTACTACACACTTGCAAACACCATTTTTAAAAAGCTTACCCATCGTAACTACATACCTTTTGACCCCATTCATAATGGACCCTAAACTTTCATTTGTTTTATTTTAGACTCTAAAGAAGAAACTGTTATTGAAACAGCGGCCGAGGAACTAGATCAACTCAGCAATGTCCTTTTGTTGAGGGTCCGCTCATTTGAAGAAAAATCCTCTAAAATAAGCAATATTACAATGGAACAACGAGGGCCTTCAAAAACACCATAATGGGGGTAAAAGGGGTTCTTATTGTTAAAGGCCTGTCTTTGCAAAATCCCATCAGCTAAATAACCCAAGGAAATGGTTCACTCTGTTCTTAAAAATAAATGGGCTACAATTTGCTTTTCTCTTCTTCCTTTTCTCAAGTTCTTTGCCTGTAATCTTTTTCAGGGGTACATACTGGATAATTCCATGTATCTGACGTTCTGGCATAGATGAAATTATAGATATAAAAACTGGCCAGCACTTTCCTGGAGCCGGGACTGTGAGAGAGGTCGGCTACAAAGGATATGAGGGGTTAAGGGGCAGGGTAACAAACTGTCCTGTATCTTGATTATGGCAGGGGTCACATGACCATGCGTCTGTCAAAACTCAGAGAACTGTATGGTTAAGACGAATTTTACTATACCTATACTAAACCTCAATAAATCTAATGAAAAAGAGCTGACAAAAAATTGAAGACATCTATCTTAAAGAAAAATGTGAACATAGCATTATTAATAACAGCAAAATGTTGGAAGCAATCTGAAAGTTCTCTAATAAGATAGCAGTTAAACGAGTTACTTACAGTAGGTTTGGCCCTGAGGAACAGTAACAAAACCACAGGACCTTACACAGAGAGAAGTTTATTTCTTTCACACGCACAAATTCAGAGGAAGGCTGTTCGGGGCTGGGATGGTAGTTTTGCACTAGAGAATCCTCAGAGACCCAAGTTCCTTTTAGCTCCCGCTCTGCTACACCCTGGATCTGGCCCTGGCTCGTGGTCCCAGACGAAGCTCCAACCATCACATCCAGCCGCTACACTCAGTGCAGCGGGGTGGGAGAAGATGGGACGAAGACTTGTGTCGGCTTCGTCTCAGATAAAGTTTCTAGAACACACCACACATACTTCTGCTTGTAGCACATTGGCTAGCTTAACCTCACGGCCACAGTTAGCTGGGAAGAATGCCGGAGAAAGTGGTCTTTGCTGTGGGTAGTTATCACACACTTAAAAATGGGGGGGCCAGCCAACATTTTTGTTTACATTAGACACCTACCTATTCATGCTCTAAGGCATGGAAGGGGAACAAAGCAAGTTACAGAACAACACAGATAACACAGATGACTCATCTGTGGCATATGTGGGCTTACATGCTATGTATGTATGCAAACACATCTGGAAGGGCGCGAACATCGGGGAGGGTACGCTGCGTTACCTGAGAGCGTAAGGAGGATGGGAGAGAGAGGAAGGTGAGAAAGAACTTCCAACATTTTACTCTATACCCTCAGATACTGCTTGATTCATTCACATCAAGAATGTTTCCATGTAGAGAATACACAATGGTGGGTGCCATGTTCAATCAGCATTACTTGCAACAGCCAAAAGGTGGATGCGACGCAAGTGTCCACCTGCTGTTGAATGGATAAGCAAAATATGTTATCTACGTACATGCTGTGGAACATTATTTGGCATTTAAAGAAAGGAAATTCTGACACGTGATACAACGTTGAAGACATTACGCTAAGGGAAATAAGCCAGTCACAAAAAGAGAAATAATGCACAATGTTACTTATCTTGACTGCCCAGAACAGTGACTGGCATGGGCGCTTTATAAACACTTGTTAAATAAGTGAATGAACAAATCCACATGTTCACAACCGTATCAATAAATGTGCCAATTGTGTCCACAAGCCAATTCCCAGATTTTGCAAAAATTTCCATAATATCTAGGATTTTCAATAAATGTATGGGGATCCTCACCCAGTAAATAGTTAATGTACTGACTTTCACTTAAGCTAAAAACCACAGGAAGTAAAAACAGATAAAAATATTTCCTCCTGGGTTTGCTTCAACTTTTGCTGGGTCAGGAAACAAGTTAATGTCCTTCCAAACTCCCACAGCCCATAACAGCAATTAGGGGTGTGTTCTTAATTACCAAAATGGATAAGAGAAGGCCGCTGCCCCCAGACGTCAGTGTCAACAAAAGATGATGCGCGTCAGCCAAAATGGAAGTTCCTTCCCATCGGAAGCAGCCGCAGGCGTGTGTAGGGGCAGAACTGGTAAATCAAGGACCAGCTTGGGGAAATCGTGATTCCAGTCTGTTCTCTATTTACGCGGAAAGAATCATGACAATAAAATAGAAAAAAGTCTCGGAAATGTCAAAATCTTCCTCGGCATAAATAGCCCAAAACCATGACGCCAGATTTTTCTGGCGTGGTGGACTGATGCGTTTTATCTTCTAAGGAGGGAAGTGAAGGATGACTCACTCACAATTTTAAAACGTAATAAGGAACCTGAAATTGCTCCACCCAGACCCATTTCTCAGATAACCACCAACCTGAGGGCAACTGCCCTCCTCCAGAAATGAGCCCGGCGAAGTTAGTTACTAATTAGGAAAAATCGTCCAATTACGCTAACTTGCTGAGGCTGGCAAGCCGCGTTTCACCCTGTGTAGGCAGAATACCATCCAGAACACACTTGCGAACTGTCTATAAAAAGGCAAACCGAACAGCCGAGACGCGAAGGCATTCCATTGTGGCTTACAGCTCTGCCAGGCGCCGGTCGGGCACCATGTCTCTGCGACTCTCCAGTGGCTCCAGGAGGGCCGGTCCCCGCCCCACCACAGGATCGCTCAGGCTCTCCGGCGCGGGAGCCTCCTTCGGGGCTGGCAATGCTTGCAGCATGCCTGGGATTGGAAGTGGCTTCTCCTGCGCCTTCGGGGGCAACGCACTGGGAGGAAATGCAGGCGGAAGCAATTCGTGTGCTGGCTTCTCGGTGAACGAGGGGGGCCTCCTCTCGGGCAACGAGAAGGTGACCATGCAGAACCTCAACGACCGCCTGGCCTCCTACCTGGACAACGTGCGCGCTCTGGAGGAGGCCAATGCGGACCTCGAGCAGAAGATCAAGGGCTGGTATGAGAAATTTGGGCCTGGCTCTTGCCGGGGGCTGGATCACGACTACAGTAGATACCTCCCTATAATTGATGATCTCAAAAGTCAGGTAAGGAATCACAATTCAAAATCATTCTTATGAACTTACATTTCTAAATACTCTTTCCTTTTCCTTATTGGATACTGAAAATAGTTATCATGTCTGGTTGTCATTTCCTGAAAGGAATTTCAATTTTGCACCGGAAATAAGCATTAAGTAGATTCTGTTGGTTAACCTCACGATTTGAAATGTCCAGGAACTACATTAATTTTTATTATTTCCATTTCCTAATCTAAAAAAAGTACCACTTTGGAGGTTTTCTTATTGATTGTGATAAACTGCCTTTAAAAAATCGATCTCCACATTTCTAGATCATCGCTTCCACCACCAGCAACGCTAATGCTGTCCTCCAGATCGATAACGCCAGGCTGACCGCCGATGACTTCCGACTCAAGTAAGTGGGCTCTTGCAGAGTGAAAGGACCCACGGAGATTAATGTGAAGCATTACACAGGATTTATTTTTTGATCCCTCCATTAAATATTAACCACCTCTTACTGCAGCACGGCAAAACACTTGCATTTAAAATACACAGAATGTTACTACTTTTTTTATGCTTTTGCCATGAAATATACAGTGTGAACAGCTATGAAAGCATGTTGAATACCCTCACTCTTTTTCTCTCGAAGACATGTCATAAAGAAAATAATAATTATCGTGCAATAAACTTTGAAAATGTCTCCCGTGGCCAAATCGGCCACTGCAAAATTCCAGGTCTCCAGCGTTCGATCACTGATCGGTGACGGTTTCTCCAACCGTGTGACAAACCGGAAAATCATTAACACTCTTTAAGGTACGAAAACGAGCTGGCACTTCACCAGAGTGTAGAGAGCGACGTCAACGGGCTGCGCAGGGTTCTGGATGAAATCACCCTGTGCAGGACGGACCTGGAGATTCAGTATGAAACCCTGAGCGAGGAGATGACCTACCTCAAGAAGAACCACAAAGAGGTAAGAGCTGAACGTCTCTTACATTTGGCCCCCCCAACCCCCAGCACACTCCATCACCATGACAGGCGGTAATGTATTTGACTTCTTAAACAACAAAGCGGTCCTAACGATCCATTATCAGACAGGCATGGGGCCTGCGTTGTCTTTAGAAGTGGCGAAGTATTTGTACAGATTCACCCTCGCTCTCTCATCGTTTCCCACGGGAAAAAAAAAGAATCATGTTTTCCAGTCCAATCTCGATGGCAAGAGCTATGTTTGGCTAGATAATTAGAGCTAAGTTAAAATGGCACACTTAAAAGATTACACCTAATTAGATAAAAGATACATATGTTAAGAACAGTCTAAGGAAACTAGATCTGAATTTCTTATAACACTGGCAGATTTAAAACACTCATACATGTTCTCCATACACACAAAAAGTACATATACTTAATATTAATACATATTCTTCATAGGTATGGCTATACAAATAATGAGACTGAAATTAAACTGTTATATCAAAAATTACACTTCCAAATAAACAGCATATGTGTCCAAAGCGGTCAGCCTGGGAAGTGAGATTCTAAATCGGAAAATACAGCCATTACAACCAGACACGCCTTTGGGATTGTTTTCAGAACTACTGTTGCCTGAGAACACCTCTATTCTTTGAAAAGGAATTTGCTATTTTTAAACAGCCCAACACTTCTTGAGGGAGATCAAGCTAAAAGTGCTGCTTAGTTAGTTGTGCGGCTGTCTTGTAAATCCAACTATCTGAAGAACTACAGCGATATAAATATACAAGTTCAAGTACAGCTATGAACCCTTGGTAGTTAAGAAATTTTTGATGTATGGAACGCAATTAATTTTTTTAATAGCTCACAGGCAAACTCCCACGCATCTTTTTCCTTTTATTTTTCTGTTTGAACTAAGGAAGTTTCCCCTGAATCCTGAGAAGTAAAACCCCACCCGGAGATAGAGAAGGCAGGGGAACCACCAGCGAGGAACAAAAGCTAGACTCCCCAGAGGGACTTGGGGCCAGGAGGAAAGAAAGCCTCATTATTGCCATTACGGCCAATCTGGGCCTGGATGGGGAGGAGGAGGGTTCCTGCAGCGGAGACGTCGGCCGATCTGCGTTGTTGTTTCCGTTGGACCCAGCCTCAGCAGCCACGGCCACCATCCGCAACCTTAGACCTGACTCACTGCATCCCGTCGGCACACACCTCGGGTGGAATAACAGGAACCAATACACAAAACTGATTCCAACCTCTGTAATTATGATAATGACCATAATAACTCGCATTTACTCAGTATTTATGTGCCAGGTAGTTTTGTTGATCTTACTACTATTTCACATCTTTCAACAGCACGGAGAAGGATATTTTTTTATCCTCAACTTTCAGATAAGAAAATTGAGACTTGAAATTAAACAACGTCCCCAGGTTCACCTAGCTACTACGGGGCAGAACCAAAATTCACGGAGATTGGTTTGACACTGAAGTCCATCAAGACACTGTCATGATGGACTTCGTAATAAATGTCCTGTGTGAGCTTAATAGCTTAATAGGCAGCTAGGATTCTTTAGAAGATGAGGTTCTTCCTTGACTAATGATAAATAAGTTTGTAATTATAAATAAGTATACATATATAAACAAATATTTATTTATTCATCATTATTGCAACTGTTCAGAATTATGCAAACGCAGCCCGTCCACCACAGCCGTGCTGCGATCAGGACATGGCTGAGCGGAGACCCGTCAAAGCTCATGTCAAAGTAGAATAACGCCATTCCACGGAGGTGGAGACGTTTAAGCCATCCATGAAGAGAGTAGGAAATGATGAATCACTCACTCTAAATATTTTAAGAGCTTTCATTTGGAAAAGGAATTAAGACGTTTTCTGTGCAGTGGAACTAAAACCAGTTGAAGAATTGGAGTTTTTGAGCTGCAATTGGGTTCACCCTAAGACAGATCTCCAGAGCAATTAAAGCTCCAAAAATGAGACAGCCTGTTTCAGTGAGTTCACTAGCATTTGAAAGTTATGTCCACTGGACAGGAAATACAAAATGGAGAGGGAGCTCACCACACAGCCTGGGAGATGCACCCAGGGGAACGCTAACAACCCTTAGGAAGCTAAGCCTCTAGGCTTTGTATGAGGTCCCAGCAGAGCTGAACTGCCAGCTTTTCTGCCGCTAGGAAATGCAAGTTCTGCAGTGCGCCGCGGGGGGCAACGTGAACGTGGAGATGAACGCGGCGCCCGGGGTGGACCTCACGGTCCTGCTGAACAACATGCGGGCTGAGTACGAAGCCCTCGCCGAGCAGAACCGCCGGGACGCGGAGGCCTGGTTCAACGAGAAGGTGAGTCTTGTCCCGAAAACAAGCCGCTGCATTTTGATGCTGTTCCCACAGCTGAGATTTGCTCCCTCGCTTGGACCTTTCAGAGCGCTTCGCTGCAACAGCAGATCTCTGAGGATGTCGGAGCCACGACCTCTGCCCGGAATGAGCTGACTGAGATGAAGCGCAATCTCCAAACGCTGGAAATTGAACTTCAGTCTCTCCTGGCCACGGTAGGAAGGGACAATTTCTTACCATCTCCTAGGTTGTCGTTTTAAATATGTGACAGTTGGTTTTAAATCTCTTAACTATGTTGAGAATACATCCATATATTACTTTATGTAGTTAAAGCATGAAGGATAAGGTTTTATATGGAACAGCAAAAACAGCAACATCAATGTCTTTATGTTTGTTCTACCTAAAAGACTTGCTCATTTTTAGGGTGCCACAACCTTCTTAGCCATCTGTCAATGCAAAATCTAAAACAATTATGAGCAAAGTTAACAAGAGGAGAAAGTCATATGTCAAAGCAAGTTTGTGTATCTGGATACCCATTTCAGTTTCTTCATCGTTTCCTTTCAGAAACACTCCCTGGAGTGCTCCTTGACGGAGACGGAAGGCAACTACTGCGCGCAGCTGGCGCAGATCCAGGCTCAGATCGGGGCCCTGGAGGAGCAGCTGCACCAGGTCCGGACCGAGACCGAGGGCCAGAAGCTGGAGTACGAGCAGCTGCTGGACATCAAGGTGCACCTGGAGAAAGAAATCGAGACCTACTGCCTCCTCATCGGTGGAGATGATGGGTAGGAAAAATAACTTTCCGGGGAAGTAAATATACTGAAACCTGCATGAAACTTACATCTCTGGAAAGTGAGCATACACTGATATGAGCACATTTATTATCATAGAGCTAAGTATTAATCATGATATCCTACTACTAAGATACGAATTAACAACATCCTACAAAACCAAAATACAACAAGCCCTGTATTTAATGTATGAAAATGTAAAAATCACCTATTGATGCTAAAGCAGGTGTAACGCACTGAAATGCCCTCACCAAGCATCTAGAGAAAACAGCGTAGCAGACCTAGAACGGAAGGGGCTCTCTCCGACTCACTCCTTGTAACGTCCCAACAACATGTGTTCACAGGGCCTGCAAGTCTGGGGGCCACAAGACCAAAGACTATGGACCTGGAAATACCGGAGGTCAAGTCAAAGGTAATTCCGAGTAAAACCTACTTTTATGCTTTCCTACTGCATTTTCAGTGCTCAGCTTGATTGCTTTTATCTGGCCAGAATATATATCTCATATATTGTATGTGAGAACAGGTACAATACGGATTTGTGGTGGATGTCAGTGTGTGCTGGATGGCTGCCTTTGATGAGGTGTGCTCATTTTAAACAGAGCAACACGTCACCATGCTTTTAGCTAAACACGAAATCGGAATTCACTAAAAATTAGTCCAAGTATTCATGCTTATTGCATCATTTATCCTATATAAAAATCCTATTATTCCTTTAATTGATATAATGTATCATTTTTTAAAGTTTATTATGGTAAAATGTACAGAACATAAAATTTACTGTCTTAACCATTTTTGTGTGTCCAGTTCGGTGGCTTTATGTGCATTCACATTCTTTTTTTTTTTTTTAAGATTTTATTTACCCATCTCTAGAGAGAGAAGGGAGGGAGGGAGGGAGATAGAGAGAGAGAGAGAGAGAGAGAGAAACATCAATGTGCAGTTGCTGGGGGTTATGGCCTGCAACCCAGGCATGTACCCTGGCTGGGAATCGAACCTGGGACACTTTGGTTCCCAGCCCGCACTCAATCCACTGAGCTATGCCAGCCAGGGCTATGCATTCGCATTCTTGGGCAACCATCCATCTCTAGAACTCTCTTCCTCTTCTAAAACAGAAACTCTACATCCGCTAAACAACAACTCCCCGTTCCCTGCTCCCCACCCCTGGCAACTGCCACTCTGCTTTCTGTGTGAACCTCACTACTCTAGGTACCTCCTATAAGTGGAATCCTATAGCATCTGTCTTTTTGTGACTGGGTTGTTTCACTTAGCATAATGCCCACTAGAAGACGGCATGTGTCAGAATGTCCTTTCTTTTTAGAGCCTAATCATATTCCCTTGTGTGTTTATACTATATCTTTTATCTATTCATCATTAATGGATGTTTGTTGCTTCCACATTTTAGCTATTGGGGCCTTATTCATCTTTTCTCAACTCTCTAAAGTCTCCCTTTAAATTTTAATTTTTAGATCCGGCCAAAGCCATAGTGGTTAAGAAGGTTCTTGAGGAGGTAGACCAGCGCAGCAAAATCCTGAGCACCAGGCTCCACTCGCTGGAAGAGAAATCCCAGAGCAATTAGTCTGAGACACAAGAGCCAGCACACGCCAAGTCCTTTCCGAGAAGAGAAGGCGTAGCATCATAGATCTGTGCTGAAAAAATGAGCAAGTCTAAAACAAAATCCGCCTCTTCATCTTTCTGTTATTGAAATGTAATCTCTAGCCATCAGTAGTGGTATCTCCCCATTCCTCTGGAAGAATGTCACATACAAATATGATGACTCATCTGGTTACCCTATAGGAAATAATGTCAATTCTTTGTGTTCAATAAACCTTCTTTCTTTAGCAAGTTATCACTGATGGGACTGTCTTACATTTAAAATGTTCGTGTCTGTGGTACAGATATATGAACACCTAGCAGCTTTTAATTTATATGAGAACCTTAAAAATTTGAGAGATTTCCATCTAAATTTTCAAGAGGTTTTCCCCAAAATTCAAAATGAGACAAATACAGGATGAATAAAAACACTTCCACTTAAATCCCTGATCTGCCATACTCCAACTTAACAACAAGTCTATTCTCCCTTCATAGTAGATAAATGTATACATTTCAGGTTCATGTGTAAAATGGGGATTGTAAGACTACTTCTCTCAAATGGTTATTATAAAGATTAAACAAATGACTATGAAGTATACTTACTGAATAAGCACTCAACAAATGCCAACTTATGATTAATACTTGCCATTTATAATGATTAATTTTTAAATATCATTTCCCTTTTGAAAATATATTTAAACAGTATTCCAAAAATAAGGGAGCTTAAAACAAAAATTCTGTTTTAGAATTCAAATTCCACTAATGGAGTCACTCACCTATATTACAAAGTACACCTGATGTTTATAACTCTCATCACTAGTGAACTCATCCCTAATAAAGAGGGAAAATTAAATGGACTAAAACATAATTTCCTCAGATCAAACATTACCCCTGGAGACTTAGTTGGCCCTCAGTCCTCTGTGGATGGATTATCCATATTATAATCCATCCATGAAAATTTGATTTCAAGCTCCATCTGAAAATATCAAGCAAAAAGGATAATCGGGGTTCCTTAAGGGCACTATGATTATCCTTGAATTACTTTCATCGTCTATTTCTAATGCAATCTTAGCCAGCGGCCACTAGAATCAAAATGTCTCTAATGATGTCCCCCATTAGATTATGTGAAACAAAAACATTGAAGTCTTAGACAAAATTCGTGAGTTCTCAGAAATGCAGCTTTCCCAGTAAATGTGAGCGTAACAGACATTCCCTGCCAGACAGGAAATGCTGTGCGATGTTACTCCACTTGGGTTCTATGCCCCTGTTCCCCTTCATGTAATAACAGTAATCAAGAATTCTCTCAGTAGGAAGACTCTTTATTTAGGAATAATTCTGCTTAATTTTGAAAGCTTAATTTTTCAAATTTGGTGATAGTTATATCATACAAAGAAGACGACTTTCAGGGGACATTTGCAGAGCCGAGGTTCATCCACACCGCTCCCCGATGACGTGCTCCTCCTCCTCCCACACCTCTGCCTCCCTTCCTACCTCGTGCGTGGTTCCCTGCAGCGTCCACCCCCAGCAACTCTGAGAATCTTCAGGTGTTGACATGGCTGTCTTACCAGATAGGATCTTACTTTAGGAGGAGACCAAGCCTTATAAAATGTAGCTGTCCTTTCATAGGCTTAAAGGTATATTCACACAGACCTAGGCAATAAACCTGCCCAAATGGTGGGTTTATATGCAGTTACAGGAACAATGCAAGAGGAAGGAGGGAGACAGTGTTGAACCTGGTCTGTAGTAACCCTAACCTTACCTCCGCAGACCTCTCTGACTTGTTGCTTTAGAACGCATATCGATACGCCACCTGGAGCGTGCTCACACACGTTAACTGAGCATTCGGAACTGGTGCTTTCATACTTTTTGTGTGGAATCATTCCAACTCAGTCCCACTTCTTTTCTTACCTTTGTAGAGGAATACAGATAGGTTTACGTGGCCAAAGGCAATACTCGTGTCTATTGCTCATTGATTTGGTCAAAAAAAATATTAACTAAGTGCCCACTACAATGCTGGGGGCTGAGGATCTACAGGAACGCAGATAAATCATGCTCCTGCTTTCACGGGGCTTACATACTAAGGAGGGCATAGGCAAGTGACAAACAAAAGGACATCAGATGCTGCCAAGTGCCTTGAAGACAACAAACAAGGCAGTTGTTTGTGGATGGAATTAAAGTTATACGTAAAAGTAATTTAGAAGCACAGCCGAGTGGTGACGTGGGAAGGCCAATGCCACTGAAAGAAGGTTCTCATTACCTACGTTTCCCGATGAAGAGGGGGCATGTCACGACACACAGGGCCACGTGGGGAACACCAGTGTTGGTCAAGAAGCAGAAAGCAGCCAGGGAAAGGTGAGGTCTAAGCCTTTACTGGAGATTCTGCAGGAAAGGAAAGGCAGAATACATGGTTTAGAAGTGGCTAATTTGAATAATTTCCTTGGGTTTTGCGCTGTAGAGCGCTCTCTAGTGGCCTGGTACGCTGCCCTGGGATGAGGTGGGGCAGGGGAAGCATGGTCTTGATGCGTGAGAGTTAGGGGAGACAGCGGGCTGTAGACGCCAGACTGGTGGGGGTTGCATATGAAAGACACGCCTCCAGCAGGGCCTTTGCTGTCAAACTGGCCAGCCCCGAGCCAGCAAGCTGCTTAAGATGTCAAAACATCATAAAATACAGAAAATAAAAAGCATGATTAATACAGGGATCAGGTGGCTCCTTTAGACAGGCGGTCACTGGAGACTTTTCAAACGGGATGAGATTCGAGCAGAGGCCCAAATGAATGAGAAGGAGCCACTTACGAGAAGCTCCGTGGACGGCTAGTGCAAGGACCCTCGGGCTGGCAGGAAGAAGGCCGGCTTGCTCCGGAAGCAGAAGTGTGGCCCGTGTGGCTGGGGCAGAGCGGGCAGGGAGGAGGGAGGTTCGAATGAGGCCATGGAAGAAGCTGGACTTTATTCAAAGCTCAGTTGGAAGCCATGAGAGGTTCAGACCAGAGAGCTCCATCCATCTAGGAAAATTACTCTGGTAGCTGTGTGGAGAACGGATTGTATGTAGGGAGGTAGGGGCAGAAGCAGTGAACCTCTTGGAGTAACCTGCACAAGACATGGAGGAGGTGTGGCCTGGCCTCAAAGACTCCTGCTTTTTTTTTTTAAAGATTGTATTTATTTATTTTTAGAGAGAGGGAAAGGGAGAGAGAAAGAGAAAGAAACATCAATTTGCAAGAGATACACAGATCAGTTGCCTCTCGCATGCCCCGACTAGGGACCTGGCCCGCAACCCAGGCATGTGCCCTGACTGGGAATGGAACTGGTGACCCTTTTGTTCGCAGGCTGGGATTCAGTCCACTGAGCCACACCAGCCAGGGCGAAGACTCCTACTTAGTCTGTGTGAGGAATCCTCCCAGAATGCCCACTGCACAGCACCGAGGTCCACAGCCTCACTCTGTGCCGTTGCTGCCTCTTATGTCCCATCTGTCTCGGGATTTGGCCAACTGTAAGCTCTTGAGAGCAGGGGCGATTTCTGTCCTCTCTGAACCCTCAGCACCTGCCTCGGGACGAGACGCAGAACTGAACAAACAAATGACGTGACTCAGGCTTGTGCCAAAACAATCCAAAGCTGCACCTAAGGCCTAAGAGGAATTTTAAAAATTAGTCATTGAAACTTTTAGGTGCCAAAATAAACTTGGATTGCTCCAACCTGTACCTTGCTTAGCATAATAAATATCCAAAAGGCATCTATGAAAATGAATGCAAGAGAACCAGATCATCAATTCTGGGGAACAATTATACAATAGTTTTTCTAAGATAATGTAGGCAAAAATTTTGCCCATAACCGGTATTATGATAAGAAATTATCCTGTAGTTACAAGGCCATACTGCAAAAAATGGCAATTTTCTGGGTAACGTCATAAAGCAACGGTCCTGGGCTCTTTTCAACGTGCGTTCCCTCCGGGATGAACGTGAGCACGTCATGCCAGCCCCACCAGAAATTCTGACATGCATGCCCCTCCCCACTCCCAGCTGACAGTTTTTATCTCAAAAGGTTGCCCATAAGGCTTTGGCAGGTCATGTCCTGCACTAGGGAGCCCAGCCCATACTCCACTCCCAAAGCTGGGTCCATGAGAATGTTTGTACAAAGTTACAGCAAGACTGCAGGGAAGACCACCGCAAGCCTGGCACCTGTCATTAAAATACCGCCGCCCAGAGCCCCCATGAATGCCCTCAACTCTTTGTAACTCAAGTCACTAACCCCAGAGGCACAGCAGGGGCCTCCAGGACCCCACCCCGGACTTGCCAGGAGCTGGTGTCTGTTCTGATTCATCGGTGCCCATACTATACAGTTGTTAAATATTCTGAATGCTATACCTGGTTTTATCTATTTTCCTTTTTTTTTTTCCTTATCCACATCCTTAGAAAAGACTTAAAGAACCATTTATAGGCTCAGGAATGGTCTGGTATATACAGCTAGGTTCCATAATTCTAGTTGGTCAGTTTCAAGGCCAGAAAGTGACCAGAGAAAGAGACCAGCGCAGGAGCCCTGTGCCAATCCAGACTGCAGCCGAGCAGTCCTGGCCTCGGCTGGCAGGTCAGGGCCCCCCGCTTAGACATCTGCCTCGGGCTCATCTCATTAAAAATCAAACTAACAGCCCTGGCCAGTGTGGCTCAGTTGGCCGGAGCATCGTCCCATAAACCAAAATGTCATGGGTTTGATCCCAGTCAGGGCATATGGCAAATGCTCAATGTTTCTCTCTCTCCCTACCTTTCCCTCCCTCTCAGATGAGAATAAAAAATAAACCTTTAAAAAATAAAAATCAAACTAACAAAGAAAAATCAATTCTCTAACCTAACTTGTTACAGAAGGCAGCATTGAAGAGTGATTCAGGGATCGGGCATTAAACTGCCGGGATTCAAAATAATTTCTACCTCTTTCTAGCTGTGTGTTCTTGGGCAAGTTAGCTAACTGTTCTTACCTGATCTCCTTACCTGTAAAGTGGAGATTGTGATAATACCTACTCCAGGGAGTTATTATGAGGATTAAATATCCAACCTACATACTTTGAAAAGTGCCTGGTTCATTTTAAGCCCTCAGTAAATGATGTAGCTGGTATGATGAGGAAGTAAAAATGTAAAAAATTAAAGTTGTACAATTGAAACTTGTATGGTTTTGTTAATCAATGTCACCCCAATAAATTCAAT